TCCTCTCTGGTTTCACTAAAATTAAAGTGAAACTTTGCATATTTCTCATACCCAGGCCTAAAAATGGCTCGGAAGAAAACCTCTTATGACCATTTCCAGCCTCGAGTTGGCTTGTTCTGCTTCATTTGACATTGTGGAGTTTGTATGCGCATGTGGGTTAGGATCTATGAGGCTCACGTGACATTGAGGCAGTGGTGACAAAGGGGAGATCATTTCTCTATCTTCTGAAGCATCTTTTAGGTTCACAAGAGACTAGGTGAGGAGTGAGAGTCTAGGTAAGAAGAAAAGGATTCTTCACAGATAAACCAAAACATCAAAAGCCATTGTGATTGACGCATTGGCCTCTCAGCATCTGCTACTCTAGGTTATGACTACCTTTGTGTGTGTATACTCTAACCAAAAAGAATGGGGCTTTCACTCTAACCATTGCCCTTTGCTCTACGCCATATATATAGGTGTGTCTTAGGAATCTGACAGACCACAGGTCTCTGTGACCTTGCCAAGTTGGACATCCTTCCTATGTCTTCACTCAGTTCCTTAACTGGAAAAGGAGGGATGGTGCCTGATTTGAACGCATCATATTTTTCATATGGTGACTAATAACACAACTAATGTGGCAGATTTTTGAAAGTGTGCATTGAAAATAGTCGGGATACTACCGAAATTATGGCAAAGGCATCAATCACCAGCCAAGGCGGAGAAAGAATGCGGTCCTGGAGAGTGAGGGAAGAAAACTTACAGTGATCAAAACAAAACTCAACTTGGATACAAACCAAAACGAGTCAGAAGCATGAGTGCAGACAAATTCCCATCCAGATGTTTTCATCAGCTGCCTTGTTGCCCCGTTCCTTCGCTTCCCTCACCTAAGCCTTGAGAACTCATGGGAAATGTGAGGAAAGAGGAGGTGGGTTCACTGAGGACTCTGGTCCCCAGAGGGATGGAAAAACACTCAAGAGGCAAGTACAGAGGCACACGGGACAGTAGAGTGTTGGTCCTGGCCTGACCAGGACAGCACAGAGAAGAACATCATGGGGTGAATGATGCAGGAAACTTGCACCAAGTGTCTGTGATCTGCAGGGGTTGTCAGACACTCCTATCTATCTCATTTAACCATCATGAATGTGCTTAGTGTCACTTCCATTGTCTAGTTGGGGAAACAAGACAAGTGAAGGCTAATGGTCTCCAGAGCCCCGATGACCACTGAGATGATGTGACCCTGCTGTGACCATTCTGTCTCATACCACAGTTATTGATAAAGGTTACATACCATATAGTCCAATGGAAGAGCATTTAAAAACAGTTAAGGGAATATTAATAATGCATGTTTGAAGTTTAATAAACAATTCATCTTTGCTATTTCCTTTTCTGAACATTGAGGGTAAAAAAAAAAGTACAGCTATGAAGATGGACTGATTCGAAGTGTTGTCTTTCTGAGACTGAGATGGCTAAAGTTCTACTTTATGATAGACCTTCAGGATGCTCCTACCAGAAGGATCAGAATAGGGCTTGGAGTTACTTAATAAGCACTGCTACAAAGCCACATAGCAACGTATGGATGAGACTGACCAGGAACACCTATTTCTCTGTACTGAGAATGCTTCTGCTGAATGATTAGATCCAACACATGCATACAGCAGTCTAAGTTCCGTGCAGTATCCTGAGAGACTGAATGAACATGCTGTTAATGCTCCCAACTGTTTGAGGCAAGTTTACTGTTAACTCCACTTTGAAGACAAAGAAACCAAGACACAGAGACATGACATAACATGTTCAAACCACTAAAGTGATGTGGCTGGGATTCAGACTCAGGCAGCTTGGGTGGAACATCTCTGCATTGCATATGATACGGCATTTCTCAGCTCCTCTCACTTAGGGTTCAATTTCAAATGCAATTTGCTTTTGCCTAACCTAAAACTCTGAAATTCTAGAGTTAGACGGATAAGAGTTCATTTACCTAATCATTAAGTCATTCCATTACTCATGTATCTATTATGTATTATACTCCTGTTATGTAACAGTCTTAATATTAGCAAAAATAGACATGATTTCTGGGATCCTTGCACTTAGAGTCTGCCGAGGTGACATACTCAAGCTATCACACAAGCAAACATAAAATTAGACCTGCTCATAAGTACTTGGAAGGAAAGATACAAGATGTCACAGTGGGGGGCTGGGGTGATGGCTCAGCAGCTAAGAACACTGGTTGATGTTCCAGAAGATCCAGGTTCAATTCTCAGCGCCTATATGACGGCTCACAACCATCTATCTGTAACTCGAGGTCCAAGGGATCAGATGCCCTTTTTGGCCCACGTGGGAACCAGGTATACAAGTGGTGCACAAACACACAAGCAGGCAAAACACCCATACACATAAAATAGAGACTGAAATTAAAAGGATGCTGCAATGTAAGATGTTTTAAGGCATTGAAACGGGTACATGACCTACCAGAGAGCAGTAAACCCTGAAATAATGACTTTTGAACTGGGATTTCTAATCTAGGCTCCTCTTTAAATTCTTTAGTGTTTCAAAACCTCAGTTCCCCCACCTGAAAAATAGGGCTAGAGGATTGTCTCTGAGTCACCAGGGAGATAATAAGTGCCAGAAGGCATTCCAGGATTCCAGTGCTGAAGACACGCTGCCTAGTGCCGCTGCTCTTTCTCCACTGCTGCTGGCCCGCATGCAGCAGAAAACTGGGTAAAAGACCTAGAGCGACAACAGTCAGACATCAGGAATGGGGAAAAGACGGGAAGAATTTCAGAAACACTGTGGACTTTACTGCTGTAAAAAAAATACTGATTCGACAGATTTTTTTTCTCCTTTTAATAGAATTATTCAGTAAGAAGAATAGCATATCATAAGTAAATAATCTGGAAAATAATTACATATGGGGAATCTAATGCCTTGTTAATGTTTTGCTGATATCTCCCGGATTCTGTCACGGTATTGTCCTGTGTTGCATGGTTTTTCTGTTCCTTTTAGCATTTCTCCCAGCACAAATCCTAGATCGGATCACCTTCTACCCAGAATTTAATATTGAAGTACAGCGGGCGAAGGCCAGTGAGATGGGCCTGGGTGTTCAGGGCTGTGGAGCGGCAATGAGGAACTCGGGGCTAGAGGAATAAGAGATACTTCAAAGCTGCTTGCAGGGTGTTAACTTGATTGCTTCAGCTTAGGGAGAAAGAGGAGGCGGGCAGCCCGGTGAGTCTGTCCTCACAGAAATGGACTCCTTCCTGAACCGTGAGGGTCCCCGGAGGGATCCGTCGGGGAGGGTTATGTCCTGCTGTATTTTCCTGGCAGAAGTGTGTTTATGTGCCCTTCGGGAGAGCACTTCAAAGCTTGGAAGGTTACTTCAAAAGCTCCGCATCCTCCCTCCTTGACTGGAGCTAAACCGATTTGAGGGCTGAGCCCTGGAAACCTTGAATACACGGGCAGACCAGCAGGTGGGCCGTACACACATGCTTACCCAGAGCATCAGCTCACCGCCCCTTTCCTCTTCGGAGGGGAGGAGGGAGGGGCTGTGTAGTGCGAGGCTCTCTGAAATCTGGGAAGGGGCCTCTTTGTCTAGGTTAAGTCTAGACTTTATCTCTGCTCTCCACTGAACTTCCAGGTTTGTGGCACCAGGCCAGTCCGGCAGCGTCTTCCAGGAATTCCGTGAACAACTGCCCTGCCTCCTTCTGCTACGCCTGGGCACCTCAGATCCTGGAATTTCCATTAGTTAACATTGACTTTTCTTTGGCTAGTTATAAATAAATAAATAAATAAATAAATAAATAAATAAATAAATAAATAAATAAATAAGTGGCAAACTTCCTCTGCCTGACTCCTTCTAGGAGAAAATCTAGAATATGGAAGGAGGCTCCATTCTACCTGGAGATGTGGGACACTGAGTAGATAGCTCCTGGAAGCCAGTGTTAACCACAAACATGCTGTCCAGGTCCCCTCCAAAAGCAGTTGGTTTTGTTGGTAGTGGAGGTAGTGGTGTTTTGTTTTTGTTTTGTTTTGTTTTGTTTTGTTTTTTCTGTTACTAAAAGAGACAAACACCAGGTCTCAGGTTTCCAGGTTTCCAGGTAGATTCTTCAGGGCTCAGTCTTTCATCCAGAAGCCCATTCTTTGATGGCAGCTGGCTGCTGAGTAATGACAACAGGAATGTAGGCCTGTCCTCTTCCATGCACATGGATACTGCCTACACTGGAGGAATGGATAGGGCCTATACAGACCAGTAAAGGAACGTGATAGCCTAAGTATGGGCATGGGCCTCAGGAGGTTCCGTCAAGAAGGCTGTGGTTTAAGGCTAGTGTATGTTATACAAGAAAACTTTGTCTCCAAAAACTAACTTGACATATATAGAAGGGAGGAAGAGACTTGAGAAATGGAGGAAAGGAAGGGAGAAGAGGGGTAAGGAGAGAGACAGAGAGAGAGAGAGAGGGAGGGAGGGGGGCGGAGGGGAGAGAGAGGAGCTTTGCAGGCATAAGGACCCAGGGAAGAGCATGAACACAGGAAATCAGAACTGGGAAGCTTCTACCTGCAGCTCAGCTCCAAAGCAAGGTCTCCAGTAGTCCTTACCATTCAGGCAAGGACAGACAGAGCCTGCATTGCACAGAGGGCATGCCCTCCAGTCAAACCTAAGACTGCAGCAAGGGGGATGTCCCTTCCTCTCTCTGGCATACCAGATGTCTTTTGGGATGATGGCTTCCCATGCGCACCTCATCAGTAAAGCTTTTCACCACTCCTAGAATACAATAGCCATGGGAAGTCACTACAAAACAAGATACATAAAACATGGAAACCCGATGTGTTCTAGAAAACCGATGCCTGCTTCTTCCCCAGGGGGGGGGGGGAAGCTGACATCAAGAAACAAAAGGCCCCTTGCCCCCCCCCCCATCCTTATTCTATCCCGGGTTAGAAAACACCTTCTTGTTTACTGTGTGACCTGTGACTGCAGTACCTAGAGCTTAGCTCTTGGAATAAAAAGAAGAGAAAGATGTCTCCAAACAGTTTTTCTGAGCAGCGCCCCTCCCCCAGGGCTGTTCGCTGTCATCCTCTTTTCTTCTCTGCTTCCTCCTCCCTTCAGCTTGACGTCTCCTCAAACGCTACCTGACAGACTGCCGCCATCACCCCGCGAATGTAAGTAATTTCCTTATTGACAGCCCCCCATTCCCTCTGACATCTGCCAGCACTCTCTGACACTTGAATAAGCATTAAGACATTAACAGTCTGGCGCAGGTTTAAGGGCTGGAATAGTAATGCTTGGCAGGCCCTGCCACAGGAGCCACCAGCAGAGAGACCCCCACCCATTCAAACTCCGCTGTCCTTCTGCTTGGAAAGCGGAGCGGAGCCCGGAGTAAATGCCGATTACTCGCTTCACTGCGCTGGCATTTTGGTGTCTCCTTAGGCAGGCCAGATTGGACATTAAAGGAAGAGAAAAGGAAAACACACACACACACACACACACACACACACACACACACACACACAAAACCGCCTGCTTCTGAGGTGGTGTGAGGAGGCAGGGTGATGACGAGGCAGGTTGCCGTTTTGTGAGATGAGAAAATATTTTAAAGGGGTCTATTTGGGAAAAGAGGCCACATCAAGCCCTCTAACTTCCACGCGGAACATTGACATCAGTCTTATGATAGTATCTCATCCATCCCACATCCTGGAGCTGGCAAACGCCATCCTCACGCCGGGGATTTGTGAAAGCAAACTTGTCAGATTGAGGATGTTCAGAAAATGATTAGGAAAGAATACCCTGACAGCCTTTGTTGCTAGAATCTGTTCGCGTCAAATGGCAAAGCCATTCACATTCAAGGTATTAAACCATTAAGCAAGTCATGGGGCTGCCTCAGTTCTGCTCTAAGGAGGGTTTATTTGGGATCAGAAACCTGTAATCCACCCAGGTGACACTAAAAATAACATCAAAATACAGAGCTAGAGCCCTGCCTGAGTGGGACGCTTTCTTGAGTCAAATGTGACTAAGCGTCGTGACTGCAGGAGGGGAAAAAAAGAATTAAAATGGGCTGTTTCGAAACTCAAGGTAGTCTGTAACCAATGGGGCAGCAAGATTCTGTGGTTCATGGCTTTCTTCTCACCTCCTGGGGCCTGAGTCCATCACTCCTCCACTTAGACCATGAGGCTAAGGCAGCTGCAGGCGCTGTTTGGGGGCTGCTTGTGCACACACAGGCTGGCGTTCCTTTAGCTAACTAACTACCTTTGCGTTCTTGTTTGATCTGGGCCTAGGGTCCCTGTGCCAGGACTGCAAATGAGGAAGGGAAGGTAGCTCAAAAAGAACACGACACTTTCCCTCAGACCACACGGGTCATCAGGGGCTGTGTCATAATTTGAACCAGCCTCTTCACTCCCATGTTGGTATGCTTCAGTTACATGTTGGTATGCCAACAGCAAGGTGTAGTAAACCTGGAAGGGCAGTAGTCATCTTCCTGGGGCTGTGGGAGTTGTCTGTGGCCTCGCTAAGGCTGGTGGAAGCCTACCGTTGAAGCAAGGTCTCCCATCTGCTAAGGGCTCTGATGTGCTGGATGGGGCAATGTTGTCTCTTCAGAGGTAACTCTGACAGGACCAGCAACCAATGGGTGTGGGGTATCTACAGGTAGAAAGGGGGCAAGTGTGCTGAACAAAATCCGGTGCTAGTTAGCTTTGGATCTGGGGTCAAGGGGACTCATAGGCCGGGCTGTTTAACTCTCATCTCTTCATTTACAAAGCAGTATAGCTTTGTCCTCTTCATAGACCCGTGCTCTATGAAGCTAAGTCTTCATTCCGTGAAGACTTAGCAAATGCTTAGTGTACTGAGTGCCCAAGAAACAAACGGCAGCATAGTCTCAGTATTCATCCACACAGGAGCCCGTGTACAGCTCCTCTCCCCGACGGTCCACTCGCCACCTCGTTTGGATGCCCTGTGGGTAACATGGCGTTAGTTCCTACAGGGTTCACCTGAGGTCCAGCTGCTGTGGATATCGCTCTATATAAATAAAACACTGATGGCCAGTGACCAGACAGGAAGTATAGGCGGGACAAGGAGAGAGGAGAATTGGGGAAACAGGAAGAAGGAAGAGAAGAGACACTGCAGCCACTGCCAGGATAAGCAGCATGTAAAGATGCCGGTAAGCCACCAGCCATGTGGCAAGGTATAGATTTATAGAAATGGGTTAATTTAAGATAAAAGAACAGTTAGCAAGAAGCCTGCCACGGCCATACAGTTTATAAGTAATATAAGCATCTGAGTGATTATTTTATACGTGAATTGTGGGACTGCGGGGCTTGGTGGAACCTGGAGAGAAGCCCTCCAGCAACAAATGACGCCCAACGGCTCGAGTTTCCACCTTAAACCTGAGAATATTTAATAACCAATTCTAAACAGAGCCAAAACCAGGTTCTTGCTTCTTGTCTCATACGGGCAGCTAGACACCACAAAACGCGGGTTTGAACACTGGCGGGTTCCTGGCGTGTGCGTTTGACCGGCAGTATGGCGGTAATGAGGTGTCTGCCAGTGGCACATTATGCTATGTGGTAGATTTAGTCTTTACTAGTATTAAAAAAAAAAAAGAAAGAGGTTTCTGGGCTACACGCTGCTTTGATAAAAGCATAGACCTACTATTTCTGAGACTTGATGACTCCCAGAGCTGGAGAAAACATACCACCGCCATATTGAAAAGCTGAAGGGGGCGGAGCCAGCAGCCACAGTGCCGCTTCAGGCTTAGAAGGCTGCAGTTTAAAGCAATAGGCTCACAAAAAGACTGATTCAGATAAAATCGTTTACAATGTATGTAAAATATATGTAGGCTTGAAAGAGACAAAAAAATTAATTAATTAATATAAAAAGCCACATAAAGATGAATATTACACAGAGAATCTGGATTGTGTTGTCTTTGGGATTTTTAACTACAAAAAACATTTGATTGAAAAAGATGTTAAATTAAACCAATATGTATATTCAAAATTTGGATGTAAGGATATGTTGCTTTGGAAAAGAGGTTCTGCTTTTGTTTCCACAGAAAGCCAGAGGCTGTGGATTTGTTCCAGATTAAGATACATCAGGTTT